AAATAATGAAATTTCAAATTAAATTCACACAGTTTTACCTAGTCCCTTCGATCCAACCTGGCAATGGTTCTTTATAAATACTAGTTATGATCGTGGGACGCAAAATAACTAGAGGTAAGTCTCCTCTTAAATGCCCAAGCAACATCTCTCCCATTGCTTTTGTGAAAACATAGGTATTTGGCCAGCCAAAAGTTTTAGCCCTACAAGAGAAATATGTGAGATCAAAATTTATCGAATTTTGAAAAATAAAACTCTTAAATGATAAGTCAATGAATGGCCTTTTATCATTTGACCGGCATTGCATTAGGCTACACTTTGCTTTAGTTCATATTTGCTCAAATCTTATTTGTAGAAAATAATGAGGATGTACTTAAGTTTCAGACCTTTGTAGACCCAATTCTTTCATGGCTGACCTCTGAACATCTTTCTCTGCATTATTATCCGTATAAAGCTCCCTTTTCTTATCTTCTACAAGCTTTAGCTCTTTTTCAATATCTAAATCAAATCCTCCTTTTAGTGTCTCTCCCATGTGAAATGCCTTCTCTAATATAATTCCTTCTCTCACACCAGCCACATATGCTGATATAGTAGATAAGAGACAAGGGTTAAAAATACTTCAAGTGCACTTGGAAACAAAAATATTTTGTACAATATCAAATAGCTAATCTTAATTTTAGATTAAAAAAAATATGGATAACTATATAAAACTATCATGAACTTTATGGGTTACACGAGGACTATTTTAAGAATTTTTCTTAGAGAAAACTGTCATGAACCTATATTAAAACTGCAGAAAAATACCATGAACTATTATAGGTTGTCGCCAACAGTATCGACATCTTGGATTAAGCATCTAAACTACTGTTATTTAAATCTATTAACCTGTAAAGTTCATAAGAGTAATACAGAAGATATATCGAGATATAAAGTATATAAGGGCAAAATTGTCAACAAGTTACCTAACTTCCATCAGGCATGGCAGTCTACTGAGAAATTGTCATGATAGTTTTCTCAAACAAATAAGTTGAAACATGTTTATGCAAAATCCCCAAAGTTAACGGCAGTTTTGTGACATTTACCCTAAAATGTGTTGACATCCTTATGTGTGCTAAAATCTTCGATCAAATACAGAAACTTACTCACCAGTTGAAACATGAAGAAGCATTTCAAGTTTGGGACATTTCTTGGCAAACTCCAGCACATGCTTAGCTCCTAACACATTTATGTTCAATGCAACATCATACCTACAATAAACAAAAGAAGCAAAACTCCATTGAGAAATAACTTTCATATGATTTAATGATTGAAATCGAACCGTGGGTACCTCTCGTAAAAATTGGTAGTCGCTGCTACGTTCATGACAATATCGATTTTGTTCCATAAAGTTTCTCTAAGATCGGTGTCACGTATACCTAAGTTCTCAATAGTTATGTCTCCTGCAATAGGAGATACTTTCTCAGTGAAAAAGGAATTGAACTCCTCTCTGTGCTTTTCTCTTAGAACATCGAACAATTGCTTTGATATCACCTGAAAATTTGCCAAATTTTGCTTGTCATATATCAGATATACCAAACTTATCGAACTAATAATTTATCATACTTGCAATTTGTTAGTTTTCTTTAACTTTTTGTTACCATATGCCTATTAATGAGGTTTGTTGAAACAAAGACATAACTACTCTCTAGCTAACTAAAAAGCAAATTTGCAAACCTAATCCATTTTTAATCCAAATTACAACAGTCAACTGAGATCTACAAAGATATTTCTTCTAGAAACATTAAATTAGGTCTGTAGAAATCAGCATTCTTCTAAATACAATATCATCAGTTTCTTTCACAGCTTAGTTACCTGTCGAAAGCTTTTTCCTGAAAAGGTTTTCGAATAAAAACATGTGTTAACAAGTAAATAGATTTTCTTAAAGTCTACCCTATTACAACAAGTTATACTCCGAAATGATCAGGGATGGACATCATAATTTTATACTCCAACATAATCTTGATTAAAAGCACTCTTTATTGCGCCAAAACCTGGACTTTTATGAAGCTATATATCTTAATCTGTTTTGAACTTCAGAAGTTTTTAAATCAGCTCATATCACTTTAAGACAGACTAATTGTAGATACACTTAATATACCGTTGGAAAGTAACCACTTATTTTATCGAATATTTTTTATCAACACTTAGACCCCCAATGTCTAAATAGAGTGATCTCCTCGTTTTTTTTTGTACCCATCATGTGGTTGTCACGAGATGTTAAAATGTTAATGTTAATGTGTTATAGCACATAGGGTTATCTGCAATTAGCCCTTTTAAAATCCATCTCATACACCAAAACTACAAAGTTATGAGAGCACTGAGGGCTACATAATTACATAGCTTTAACAATTTAGATCCCAATCAAAACTGCAGATGAATTGATGAGAAGTGCAAGCATATATTCTTTGCATATATACCTCATCTTGCAAGCGTCGGTTGGCGGAGTTGGTGTCTGCGGCTCTCACAAGGAGGAAGACCTTCTTCACATCAGGCTGAATCCTAAGCACCTTCTCCACAAAGACTAATTCAAACCCCCCAAGAGAAAATTTAATCAAATGTTAACCAACATAAAAAAAAATAATTGACTAGGTGTGATTAAGATCCATACTCTTTGCTAGAAAACCAGTCGAACCAGTGATAAATATGCACTTGTCCTTCAAACTCTCTGCTACTCCGTCTAATTCCATTGATCACCTAGCTTGAACTATGAGAGGAGGAAGAAGAAGAGAGAGAGAGAGATGGAGTTCAGAGAAGCTATGTGTTGGTTTATATACAAAGTTTTGCGAAGAAATAATATGTGTGAGAGTTTGAGTGCACGTAATGTAATAGTGGGTTTGATTATGAGAGAAAGGGAGAGAGAGGGAGAGTAGATATTTTAGGTATGTACAGATGTGTGGCAAGAGTAGATATTTTAGGTAAGTATGGATGTGGAAACTCAAAATGAATTTTGAGATCATAGTTGATATATCAGGCCATTATGCTCACATAGGAGGTTTTGATTTGGTTATGATTTTTTTAACAGGTAAATGAGATTTTATTGCAAGCTTACAAGTGAAGCAGAAATAGAATACAATGTAACGGTATACATTATGAACATAACTGGGTGTATTGATACATAATACACGAGGCATGTAATATGATGTCTACATATATTATATGATATTTTTAAAAATATACTGTGACGCCCCTGTTTTCACGCATGACTGCAGTCTAAGGTGAACCCAGAGATATCAAATCTGTCATGCACTCATACCGTGCAACAACATGTTTCACCATCATAATAATATCTCTATAGTGGAATCAATAACAATTGTAGGTACAAAACAGGCAAAATAAGAGTAATAAATGCAATGGACATGATATAGAAAGAGATATCCAAATAAGCATACTTATGTCCCAACTGAATAAAAACGAAATACAACTGATGTCTGAAATAAATGTGAAGTAACTTAATACAGAGTCGAATGAAGACAAACTGAGGCACCCAGCCTTCTCAAAATGAAATACAGGTCTAATGATCAACTAAACCATAAATAAATATCTGTGGAGTATCAACTACTAAAAATAAGCGACGACGACTATGTTGTAAATCCGTCAACTTGCGGCTCTTCGAAATTCTGATCTACTGTCTAAAAAGAAGGAAAAACAAAAACAAAAAGAAAAAGAAAAACAACAACAACATCAGAGCGTTTTAGCAAGATCATCTTCATCTGCGCACAGGGGAAAGGCTACTAAATGTGATGGAGACTCTATCTATGAGTGCATAGTCTACCTAAATCATTTACCCTGTATCTAAATGAGATTAATATTTAGAAACTCACAACATGAGACGTAGTACGTCGAGCGAAATAATCGAAATAAGGAAACTCTCATGTATATACTATATGTCTCAAATTGTGAATCGCTAAATATCAATTCCAACCTAAGAATAAAAGATAAAGGAAAGCAATACAGAAAAGTAAAGTTATTGCAATATCATAAATATCGACCATATAACTCGCGCTACCCTTTGGGTAGATGATGTGGATACAAGAACTAAATCTCCTGTAACTCCCAAACGCGAAATAGTCCGGTCATAATATAACTCAGCGATGAATCATATTCATAAATGGCTTCAGCCAAAGACTCAAGCTATCAGATATATCACAATACATTATCATGCGGAACGGACTACCAAATCAGACATTCTAAATATGTACACGGCTCATTAGTCTCATCACATCACCGTCCGGGACGGATTACACATCAGGTATCCTAGAAGTACAGCTCTCTAGCCTCATCGCATCATCGTGCGGGACAGACTACCAAATCAGGTATCCTAAAATCACGATTCAATGGCCTATACTAACGGCATATCGACGCACTATCCCAAGTAGTACTGAGTTGTACGTGCTCATCAACGATATCCATACATGCATATGTATTATGATTAATTGTTAACTCAAACATGATCGAAACAATACCTGTAATAATCCGCTTCGGGATATCCGTGTGCGTGTTACGACTTTACTTGTGGATACTCATGATATTGCGCGTGTACCATCATATGGCTCGAACCCCATGTTCACGATTCAACGTGCAAGAGAAAACATCACATACAAATCAACATGTCAGTCGACTGCTCTAAGGCATCGGTCGACCGACGGCAAATGTGCACTAGGAAGAGGTCCTTATCGGTCGACTGGTTATTACAAGTCGGTCGACCGATTAGCAAGGAAAAGAATTTCCTGAACGACACAATCGGTCGACTGATCACTTAGGATTGGTCGACCGATAACACTACTACGGGTTCTTCTCAGGTTCTGTATTTTGCATCTTTTCTCAACAACATATTTTTATTAGCATGCAAGGCTAAACATATTTTAAACATTCAAATTACTTAGCAAGGGTTAACTTAAACATGATTACATCTCTTGAATTTATAAGATTAGGGTTTAGCATCCTAATTACTCAAAACTCTCGATTAATTGATAAATTAGGATTTTAAACCAAACTAAAACATAAATTTTCAATTAATTACGGTTTTAATGATCAATTATAGATTAGTCCTACTGATCTCTTTGTTAATTAAAGATCTAACATCACAACTAGGTTTTTAAATTATCAGATTAAGCTTTAAGCATTAGTTTAAGCAATTAACACTTTAAAAACATGAACTTTTTACTGAGGATAGGTTTGGAGGAAAATGATCATGCCTCAAACGTCGTGTTGAACACCTGAACACGTGCGTGCAAGATCCTTCTTCGCCAAGTTCGCAAATCTCGCCTTCCTCTTGATAACCGTCTCAAAAAATCTCTCAAAAACTCACAGATTAGCGTTAGGGTTTTGAGATGGGAGGTGGCTGCTGATAAATCACGTGAAAAGATGAAGGAAAGATGTTTAAAATGAATATATATACTTATGTATATAACTAAGCCTGAATCGAAACAAAACGGACCCGAACACCTGCACGAACTCTGGAGCTATGGAAACCCGTCCGCCACAACCGATTGGTCGACCGGTCGGGTATCATCGGTCGACCGATCGGCCTAGGCTAGTCGACCGACCAGAATGCACATGACTGCATGGTTTTGTGCATGTTTACACTCGTTTATTCACATATATACACTAAATCGATCTCAAATGGATTCCTAGCATACTCAACCATTAATAGATGATATTTATCATGATATAACTCATTTATTATTATTTTTCATAATATATCTAAAATTACGGGGTTTTACATATAATTTCTTAAAGTGGATGACTTCTGATTTGAGAAAACTGATCGCAAAAGGAAAAAGCATATGATGCAACTATCTGTATCTAGAAGGAGGAGAGACATCCATTTATGTCACATATGATTACAAATAGATTACAACAATTCACAGATGTCAAACTTCGAATTATCAAACAAGATAATATTTAATTGCTTTTTTTTTGGATAGCTAATTGCTTACGTTTTTGACATGGGTTAAAATAAACATTCCATGTAATTGAATTTCTTTTAGCAGGTTTGAACATAGATAATCATGTAGTTTACTGGTTTATCTTTTACAATATGAATATATAACATAAAATAAATTGTCCGCCTATGGCTAAAATATCAATGTATATTTGCAACGACAATATTTGGTAATACTTAACCAACTGGAATGAGATTTATTTTGTCAAAGTAGATCATCTGTGCACCTCCACTCTCACCAAACTCTTTGAGCGTCGTTACCTTCTTCATTAAGAATGATAATTACATATAAACTATAAAACTAGTAAGATATGGAAGACATGATGTCTATATCTAATCACATAGATAAACTAATAGGAACTGGGTTGATTAGGGGCCGCTAACTTATCCGAATATCTNTAAGAGAACGAGGTCCGATTCCCCCGTTGTTCCTCCGATAATCAAGTTAGCAAGTGTTGGGGATTCGAAACAATCAATCGAACCCTTGCCCTTCCGGACCTTGTGTTGAAAGTAGGAAAGTAGGAATAAAACCACAAATAAAGATCTAACTTGCAAAAAACAGTAAGGGAGATGAACACACAGATTTAACGAGGTTCGGCAACGTGCTTACGTCCTCGGGAGCCACACCACACAATCTTTTTATTAATTGAAGAAGAAAATACAAGCTCTCAAACAAGGGGTTAATCTCTCTGAGATTCTCTCTCTCTCTTTGCAGTCAAAAAGCTCTCTTTTTGATGTCTCTATAAACCCTAAAAACGTTTGGGGTATATATAGAATCCTGAAATAAAACAGATTCCCAAACAGTTTAGGAAACTGTCTGGACGATTCGCGGTCGACCGCCGTGCCAAGGCCGGTCGACCGGCCAGAGAAAAATCTGTTTACAGGGTCCTGTGCACATTTGCGGTCGACCGCGGCGGCCACGCCGGTCGACCGGCCAGAGCGTCAGAAACTTCTCAGTTTCCTGCAGTGCACGCGGTCGACTGAATCTGCCACTGCGGTCGACCGCACAGTCTTCTGACTGTTTTCTTCGTTTTTTCGATTGCAGCTTCGGGTCTACACACTTAGACTAGCAATCTCCCACTTGGAGACCAAAGCGCCATCAATGAGCTCACCCGAACTCTCCCCTTCTTCGCATGTATCTTTTCCCCCGAAAAAGTTCTTCCTTCAATCAACAAAATCCCGGCGATCTCGCCGATCCTCGTAGTGTGGCTCCGCCTTCGTCTTCTACTCGTGAAGGCCAACTGAAGTTGCGCACAACTCCAGTTTCTCAATGGTGACTGCCTTCGTCAACATGTCCGCCGGATTTTGACTCCCCAAAATCTTCATTAAATGCAACTTTCCGTCCTCGATCAGCGAGCGTATAAAATAGTATTTGACGTCAATGTGCTTCGTTCTGGCATGATATACTGGATTCTTGGCAAGATGTATAGCGCTCTGGCTATCACAATAAATAACTCCTCTCCCTTGCTTCAGATCCAACTCTTCCAAGCACCCGTTCAACCAGATCATCTCCTTGCTTGCTTCAGTCACCGCGACATACTCAGCCTCGGTTGTAGACAAAGTCACAATCTTCTGCAGACGTGAGACCCAGCTCACTGCTGTCGACGCTAAGGTATAAACATACCCCGTGGTGCTTCGCCTCGTATCTGTTTGCGTCAAAAGTTGGTTTTGTCATGGAATTCATTATATCTTCAGTCGATTACAATAAATTCAAAAAGAGATAGCATTTTTATAAGACTTCTTTTACACAACAAAATGAAAATTACAACTCTTGTGAAACAAACGCATGATCGTTGTTTGGATCACTGCTTGCGTGGGATCTTTGCCTGTGCCGGGGGTGCGTTAGCCCGTGG